CAACAGCTCCCCTCCCACTTCCTCCCCATAGTTACCTCTTCCCAGTGTCCATCCCTCCATGCACTCCTGCCCCCTGAGCTGTCTCCCTGTGCATAGGCAGCCCTTCTTTCTCCTATGATTGTTCTCTCCAAGGAGTGTATCTACTTGAGGTAACTGTTCAACTCATATGCCTGTATTTTGTTTGGCTGGAAACCACAGGTATGGGTTCAATTCCAGACCTGAAGGGCAGCTAGAGAACTGTCTCTTATGGTCCCACTCACAGGACAACTCCACGAGGCCCCCAGAAGGGCAGGGCAGAGGGCCGTGGTAGGGAGGCTGATTAAATCATCAACAGGCCCTGTCCCTTAAATGTGTATGGAACACCAACTGTGTGCACCAGACCTGGAGAGGGACCGCTGAGGACACAAGTGTCACAAGACGCAGCCCTGACTCTCCAGCTGCTCACAGTCTGATAACAGGGCAGGCTAACACATACCCACGTAAGGAAGTGCTGCAAGGTGGGGTGGGACACCTCACCACAGCAGGTGTGCCCCCAGGGAAGGACTGGGCTGAGAGGACTGCAGGCATCCAGGAGGGGCTACCCAGGTGGAGAAAGGGGTCGAGGGGCATTTCGGCAGCACCTAGGCTCTTTAGGGATTGCAGAAGGGGTAGTCAGTCTGGCCGGGTTCCCTGTCAGGGCAGCAGGAGACCGAACAGGAGAGATGGGCTAAGACCTGGCTTTGGGGTGCGCTGGGTGGTGGTGCAAACGCTTAATTCACTCTCAGCTGCTAGCTAAAAGCTTGGAAGTTCGAGTCCACCCAGTGGTGCCTTGGAAGAAAGGCCTGGCAACCTACCTCGGAGAAGTCAGCCATTGGAAACCCTATGGAGTACAGCTCTACCCTGATGCACACGGGGTCCCCGTGAGTCAGGATCGACTCTCCAGCAACTGGTCTGTAGGGAACCTTGAACTCCAGACTGAGGTGACCTGGTTTGGCTTTGAGGCCAAGGAAGTCCCCTGAAGCTTCTGGGGTAACTCTAGTACTTTAGGAACGTCAAGCAAGCCTGAGGAGTGAGGAGGGCTGGGAGACAGAACGCCCCAAAACCTCCTTCATGGCATTCCTTCACCCAACAACCAAGGCAGCTCCTGAGGGCCCGGGGAGCAGCTGTGCCGGCTCAGGCCTGCAGCCTTCCACTCTCCTTACCCCTAGGTGGCCACCCTCGCCTATTACCTGGCGTCTACTAGCTCCTCCCACGAGCCGGTCCTCCAAGACCACGCCCACCGCCCTCCGGACGCCCTCCCGGAAGCAGCCCTCTTTCCCGATGCCTGGCCGCGGTCCTGTCCGGCTCACGTTTTCCTTCGCATTTTTCTCTGCTGCTGCTTTGGTAGCAGTTTGCCTCTGCAGCAAGAAGTGTGTGTATCGTGTGGGAAGTACTCGCGGTAAAGGACACTCAAAAAACCCGTTACCGTCAAGCGGATTCCAACTTAATGGGACCTAATGCAGGACGCTCGCCAAACCCAAACCAAACTGGTTGCTATGGAGTGGATTCCGACTCAAACTGACCCTATAAGGCAGAGTAGAACTGCCCCATTGGGTTTCCGAGGCTGTAAATCTTTCTGGAAGCAGCCTCATCTCTCTCCTGTGGAGCAACTGGAGGGTTTGAACGGTGGTGACCTTTTGGTTAGCAGCCAAGTACTTAACCAGTGCACCACTAGGACTTCTCTGAAGGACACTCGGGAGAATGAGTTGCTTCACCGAGAAGGGAGTTGTGCAACAAACCACTAGCTCCGAGACTTCTTGAGCTGATAGCCTTTGACCCAGAGGTTCTTGCAGGAAATCACCAGAGGTGCCCACAATAAACCTCTTTATTGCAGCATTAGTTACAGCAGTGGAGCTAACTGATAATCTAAACCACTGATAACAGAGAGGTGTTTCAATTACAGTAGCCACATGGAGTGATACAACAGAAAGTGAGAAAAATAATGAACAAAAGGATATAGGATCCTGTTTTCTTTAAAAACACACAGATCTCTGCATGCCTAACACACATACAGACGTGCTCACACACCTGCGAACACATACACACCCCCAGGGAAAAGGGCAGAGAAAATACTTGAACATTTTAGTAACAGGTATCTCTGGGTTGGGACATCCCGGGAATGTTTGGTTTCATCTTTCTACCTCTTTAAAGTGTTAAGGAGTAAAGATGTCACTTAGAAAACTAAGGTGTACCTGACCTAAGCCATAGTATTTTCAATTGCCTTATATGCATGTGAAAGCTGGAAAATGAATAAGGAAGACTGAAGAAGAGTTGATGCCTTTGAATTCTTGGCTAAGAATACTGAAGATACCATGGACTGCCCGAAGAACTAACAAATCTATCCTGGAAGAAGTGCAACCAGAATGCTCCTTGGAAGGGAGAATGGCCAGATTTCATCTGGTGGCATAGAGCCTAAGGCACTTGACTGCTAACCAGAAGGCTGGCAGTTCAAACCCACCAGCCACTCCTTGGAAGGAAGATGGGGCAATCTACTTCCGTAGTGATACTGCCTCGGAAACCCAAGGAGGGATCGCTGTGAGTCGGGTCTGACTCGATGGCACATAACAACAACAACTTTGGTCATGTTGTCAGAAGGGACCATTCCCTGGAGAAGGATATCATGCTCATGGTAAAGTGGAGGGAGGGTCAGCGAAAAAGGAAGACAGACAATGAGATAGACTGACACAGCGGCTGCAGCGACGGGCACAGCAAGGAAGGCGAGGCTGGCGCAGGACCCGGCCAGGCTTTCGTTCTGTTGTACACAGGGTCGCTATGAGTCAGAGCCGACTCGATGGCACCTAACAGCGTTCTGTCACTTTCCAAATGCTCTAAAAGGAGTTCTCTCTTGCTTTCACATTCGGGGTGGGGGGAGACACATTATTTTTACAAAATAAAAACTCCAAAAAGCCTTTTCAACTTTCTGGAAAGACCTAAGAAACTGATACTAGTGGCTGCCTCTGGGGTAAGCAGCAGCCTTTGATTGTAGGGATTTTTTTTTTCTTTTCTTTTTAATCACAAATCAATGATACTTTTACAAAAGAATTATCGCATCATGCTTCCCCTTCTCGCATTCATTTTTCAAATGTTGGTCCCCAAGGAACACTTCCCTGATGTGCCCACCCTCAGTCCAGGTGTTGTGCCCTCTCTGTGGCTGTGGCACCTGGAGCTTCCTGGCTCAATGGTCCCCATTACACTGGATTGTCTTTGCCCTGGTATTTATTTTCCTTCCCCATAACAATAGGGACCAACTGGTCATCCTCCTAACTGCAGCCCCTAGCTCCGTTTCTGGTTCCTAATACCAAATGGAGGAGCTCTGGTAGCATAGTGCCTATGGCACTTGACTGCTAACCAGAAGGCTGGCGGTTAAAACCCACCAGCCACTCCTCGGAAAGAAGGTTGGGCAGTCTACTTCCATAGTGTTACTGCCTCAGAAACCCAAGGAGGGGTCGCTATGAGTTGGGTCTGACTCGATAGCACATAACAACAACAACAATACCAAATGGGATCTCTGGTAGCATAGTGCCTAAGGCACTTGACTGCTAACCAGAAGGCTGGTGGTTCAAACCCACCAGCCACTCCTCAGAAGGAAGGTTGGGCAATCTACTTCCGTAGTGATACCGCTTCAGAAACCCAAGGAGGGGTCACTATGAGTTGGGGCCGACTCGACGGCATATAACAACAATAATACCAAACAATGTCCAGTCGACCCTGACTCACAGCGACCCCAGGTGTGTCAGAGAAGAACTGTGCTTTGTCGAGTTTTCAAGGGCTGATGTTTTGGAGATCACCAGGCCTTTCTTCCAAGGCACCTGTCAGTGGACTAGAGCCCCAAGTCCAACCAGACGCATCAGCCATCGGCACCACCCAGGGACGCACTCAGCAAACACTGGGAAGTAACAGAAGCGTCGTTTTTGTTTTTGGATCCATGCCTCCTGCCACCCTCAGACTTCACAGCTCATCCTGGTTTGGCTTCCCCGTTGCATCTCTCTGGACACCATTCTCAGGACAGGGAAGAAGAGACAGAACTGCCGCCCCACCCCCAATCCTCCAGGCCACGGGAGATGCTCATACTGCTCCCAGGCCCCTCACCTGTACACCTGATGCCAACGGCTGTTTCTGTCATCGAGAAGCCCACGGGGCACACTCGGGCCACCTCCTGACAGCCGCCATGGTTACAGGTAAGGTCACAGCCATACTCGCCGCAGGGTCCGTGGGCTTCTAAAACAGGTATTGAACCCGTGAACCAACACCACGCTGCAGTCCTCGTCACCCCCGCCTCACCAAGTTTCCTCCTGAATTCCGTTGGGAGGGCAGCTCTGGAGGCAAACAGGCCCCAGTTTAAATCCAGCTCTGCCACCCTGGTCAAGTCCCTGACTTCCGCACCTCAGTTTCCTCATCTATAAAACGGGATTGATAAGTTCAACCTAACAAGGTCGCTGGGAGATGGTATGGTGGCATCTGCGCCTGGCACAGATCTCAATCAATGGTGATACCGTCATTCCCATCAGCCCGTGCCCGTCCTGTTACCTGGGCAGGTGGCCCCTTGCTCTCCGTCCTGGCAGGAGCACACGTTGGGAGCAATGCAGATGCCACTCCCGCAGCCAAAGGAGCAGAGGGCTGAGAGGAGAAATGCAGGTGAGGGTGTGGGGGCCGTCTCAGGTCAGCGTGCTGGTGGAGGAGGCTGGGGGCAGAGGGGCGGGCACTTACGCAAGGTGCAATGCCCACTGCCCATGGAGGGCGCCCAGCCCGGACAGCAGCCACTCCCGAACCCTGAGAGGCAGACGTGGGGGCCCAGCCGGCGTCTGTAAGAAAGGAGAGCACACTCTCTATGTTCTCAGCTGGGGCAGGAACTGGTCAGCAGGGCAGTGAAGGCCTGCACACTGTCTGAAAGTCCATCAACCACCATTGCTTGAGGCCTCCTGGAGGCACAATGGGAACTGACAAAGAAAAGATGACCCAGGTAATCTCTGGGAGGCAGGACAAATGCAAATGTCTGAGAGAACACCTGTCAGCCTCCAGAGTTACCTGACACACAATTACAGAGCAAAGAGCCACCAGGAGAGGGGCCTAAGGGCTGAGGAGCCCCATGGCCATCCCAGCTGCCTCAGGGCCTTTGCACTTCTGAAGGCCTGTTCCCAGGCAGGCATCGGCTCAGCCTCACTTCACCAGGTCCTCTCAGAAGGGCCTTTCCTGCCCACTGGTACCTTGCTTTAATCCTCCTCATAGCACTTACTTCACGGGACACTGATCTGCTTCTGTATTTGTCGATCTGTTCATTTTCTGTCTTCCACACTAGCCCCGACCCCCACACCACGAACAGGGCTTCTCTTACTTATTCACCCCCAGTACCTCAGGTGGTGCCTGACGCATAGAAGGGCTCAATAAAATGGCTGTTGAGGGAAAGGCTGAGAAGGGAGGAAGAAGGGGGGAACCCTGGAGGGCACATAGGTGACATCGCTGGGCTGAGGGGTCATCAGGCTGCTCAAAGCTAGAGGCAAAAAGGGATCTGCTCACGCAGGAAGCAGGCCCCACAGCTGGGAGTGAGAGGGAACCCAGGGGCCAGAAAGGGCGGCTGGGCAACCATGAACAAGCCACTGTCCCCACCTTCGAGGGACGCTGGGCAGACAAGGAACTGGGTAACAACAACATAGTGTGACAAGTGTCACAAAGGGATGCACTATGGAACCCGAAGGTGAGGCAGGGGAGGTTTCATGGAAGGCAGCTTGTAGGCTGAGTGGGAGCAGCAGGGGGAAGGGGAGGGAGAGACCCAGAGTTCCTGGCAGAGAGAACGGCATGTGCGAAGGCCCAGAGGAGAGAGGCTTGTAAGCGGTTCCAGCAGTGTGCTGGGCAGAAGTGGGCAGCAGTGGGCAGTGCTGAAGTCACTGGTTAGAGCTGGAAATCCCAGTACAGCAGAATAGGGCTTGGAAACCCCGCCCCACCTGGAATCCAGCCGTGTTCAGAGCTGATGGGAATACCACTGCACCAGTCAGTTCACAGGGTGCTCACTCTGTGTGCCCTGCATTGTACCAAGCACTGGGGGGGTAGTCATGGGTTCACTTGCCCCTGCTCGTGGGAGAAGAATCTGATGGGGAAAGTAATTTCAAATGTGAGACGAGGAAGTGACAAAGGGAAGCTCAGGTCACCACAGCAGAACAGAGAAGTCTGCGGGAAGCTGTCCCTGGACATGAAGGGGCTCTTTTTTGCCTCTCTGAAGCATCACAGAAGAGGACCACTACTGGGCCCCAGGGATGTCACATGCAGTCCCCTTGCTGGAGCGCTGTGGCAGCTGCCTGGGACGGAGGGGCCGCAGCTCCTGCCCCTCCAACGTGTTGTGTCTCTGAAAGGGACAGGCGATGCCAGCAAAGCGGCTGCCAGGCGGATGCTATGGGAGGCTGGTGGAGCCACACCCGCAAGTGAGCAGGGCCCCAGCGCCCGCCAGAGCACCCCAAACCGCCTCCCGCGGTGGCAGTGACGGAGACAGGTGGCTGGAAGGAGGCTCTGGGACAGCGCGGAGCCCGGGCCGGGATGGAAGCAGGAACTGGCAGGGGCCGCTGGACCCACGTGCGAGCGGCGAGCCCGGCGGGGCCGCCCCCGCTGCGCGCCCCCGGAGGAGCGTGGCCGCGGGCCAGGCCGCCAGCTGACAGCGTGTTCCCTCGCTCTGAGCATCACGCACACACGCGGCGGCCCGGCCTCCCGCCCGGGAGAGGGAACGCGTGGGGAAAGCGGCGCGGGGCACCCCAACCCTGCCCGCGCGGGCACAGACGAAACCAAACGGCCCAGAGGGCCCCGGCGGTTCCCAGGTCCGCGGCGCGCGAGGGTCAGGGCCCCGGGAAGCCCCCAGCCCCAGAGCGGCAGAGGAGGCCGGGCAGTGCCCGGCAGAGCAAGTGACACGGTAGGGACTGAAAGCCAGCCAGTGCACGGCCGGGGGGCACGTCCCAGGCTCGCCGCCTCCGGGGTCCGCGCTGCAGGGCAGGCTCAGACGTGCACAGCGCAGCCTGCTTCTTGGTTCCCGTCCTCACCCGCCTGGGGTCCCCCAGGTCGCAGCTAGGGACGCAGACAGGCACCCGCCCTGGGGCGCAAGTCGCCGTGTCTTTGTCCCGACCCCCAGGGCTGCGCCGGCGCGTTACTACCCCAGACTGGAGCCCGGACCGTGGCTGTGGCGGCTCCGGGGCGCGGGGCGCGGGGCGCTCCCCCGCACGCCGGTGGCATCCCACCGCGGCCGGGCAGGGGCGCGGCGCTTACCTCTCGGCGGCGAAGTGCCCGGGCGCCTTCCTCCCGGGGTAGCCTCGGCTCGGGGCCCCCGGCAGCAGGACGCGCGGGTGTCCGGCCCCGAGCCCGGGCGGCCGCTGCTGCTGCGCTCTGCTCGCCTTTTGTCTCAGCGTCGGGGAAAATGGGGCGAGCGCAGCCGGGGTGTGTGAGAGCGAGCGAGAATCAGGGGGCGTTTGGCTTGGAGCCATTTTTTTTCTTAATTGTGGAGCCCGACAGTCCCTGAAAGCGGGTCCCCGGGGGAGCCGGCCGTGCCCCTCGTGCGCTGGCACAGGGGCTTCCCCCCGTGTGTGCCCACCTCGCCGGCTCCCAGCCTCGCCCCCACCCGCCCAGCCCGGAGCCCCGGAGCGGGCGTCTGCAGAGCGGCGCCCAGTCACCTGTCGTGTCAGCCGCATGGAAATCCTGGGGCTCCTGCTGTCTGGAGTCTGGGCTGTTTCCTGTGGCGAATCACGGAGATTCCGCTCGCAGTACCAACCCTTCCTCCTTCCCCTTCGCTTCAAAACAGGACCCGCTGCGAATGCTAAAGTTGGACCTGGTGGGGACGATTAGCAGGGGGGCATTACTTTTTCCTGGCACACCCCTTCAAGGTTGGGAAGGTGAGGGCGATCTGGCGTTGTGGAAAGGAAATGAGGGTGCCACGGTCCTGTCTGGGGTTGATGTAGGCGGGGGACCCAGCGTTCTACCTGCTAGCTTGCCAGGGCCGTGGCAAAATCTTCTAACACTGCCCCCCTTCGGGAGAACCAACTCCCCTTGCCAGGAAAGCGTTTCCTAGATTCCTGTGTTTTGAGGCTTTCCTCCCCTTTGTATTTACAGATCAGCAGCGCCTGGTTGAAGGGTGTCTGCTAAGCCCTCTCCCTGTGGGCAGGTTTATTTCTAAGATTTTCAAGGCAGGAATCTGCTTGGGGGGGGGGGGTCCCTGTCTTTGTGCCTCTTTGTATCTGTCTGAGGTTTGCGGTTCTCAGTGTGCAGAGTTGAGTTCCTGCAGGCAACTCCAGTGGGAATAATGCTGTTTGCCCAGCGAGTTCTGTCACCAGGCCATGCGCAGGCTTGCTGGGGTTTAGATGAGAAGCGGCAGGGCACCTTGTCCGAGCCACAGTGCAGTCCAGAGAGCAACTGTGCCCGAGACTCCTGGCTGCCGGCTGGCCAGGCGACCTGAGCTCAACACTCTGTAATGACGGCCACATTCCGAACGAGGAACTAACAGGCACTCTCTCTTCTGGCTGGTTGACTGCCTTGGAAATGATTACTGGGCTATGAATAAATCAGGAATAACCAAGTCTAGTGTTTAGTGCCTCAGTTTTAAGAGTAGTTCTTAACTGGTGTAAAAACGTTATCAATGGATGTGAATTTTCCTTTGTGAATTTTAAGAGCTCTATTTTAGTAAGGGGTGCTCTGGTAGCATAGTGCCTAAGGCACTTGACTGCTAACCAGAAGGCTGGTGGTTCAAACCCACCAGCCACTCCTCAGAAGGAAGGTTGGGCAAT